GCATAGTGGCATTCCAGTTCCCAAGCCTATGACTTTGTGTATGAGCCCTTGTAACAACATAATTTATATGGATTGACTAAAGTATTCATCTATAGTTGGGGGATTCAGTCCATAGTAACTTGCTGTATTAGAACCCTGAAGGCACACTTTAGCATTATAAATCAAGCATGAAACTGCGTAAATCTTTGCAACTGATTGTAGACCAATTTTAAGATTTTTCTTAAAATCATTAAGAGGCCGTCTCCGTAAGAACCGACCACTGATTTTTTTTTTTCGAAAATCAACCTTGCCTCTAACTTTTCTTATTTATTAGACTTAACAAGCATGCTACAAAATCACATTCAGAATTTTTTATCTCACGTTATTCCCGAGATTTTTAAACTTTTGTTCCTTAGGGCTGTAATTGGGATCTCAACGTTTTGGCACGTAAAAATACCACATCGGTATCCCTCAAATGCGCAGACGCACGGCCAGCTTTCCAATTTTTATATTTATAATCGGAAAGTTAAGGTCTTTGCTCGAACATATCAAGCATCTACACATTCCAAACCCTTTAAAAACGTCTTTTCACACGAGCGTGCTTCAAGGTACTTTTTCAACATGGGTTAGGTCCTCAAAATTACATGTTTTTACGATCGGATTTTGCAAAAGTGGCACTACCCACAAACTTCTACTTAAATATTTTTTAAAATACTAATTGTAAATTATAATTCCATCAAAACAAAAATTGGGGGATTTTTTTCCAAACTATTTTAATCAACGCTGACAATCCATTCATTAAAAGTTCGCGGATAGTTTACAGATTCAACACATGCTAAAAGTTTTGAACATAAAAACACTGCTTGAGTTGCATATATCTTATGTAGCTAGACCTCCTGTATGTTTCAAGCAGCCGCAAACGTTGTTTCAACAGTTGCACCACGCAGGTAATAACGTAATGTAAACAAATGTGTCTATATAATTATTCGCATGTTGCGAGACCCCGCTGCGAGTGAAACATCGTGCATTATAACGCCAAAAAATGCTAAATATGATCTTGCTAAAACATAAGTGAATCATATTGTAGTTATATACCACAAAGTTTATCAAATGAAGATAAAAAATCAATCAAAAATACAAAATATTCGTCCGTCTATATTTAGGATACTCTGAGTACGAGATTGTAAACAGGGCGAAGGGAGAGAGGGCGTAGAAACGGCCATACATCGAGCGGACCCAGAGGAGGAATGAGAGTCTTCCCGAAATGCAACGCGCGAATCAGTGCGGTTCATTATTATTCAAGCTATTTATTCTCAACGCGCCGTTCGATTAAAAACTGTTGAAATATATTGCGATTTTTGCCGTGAAGATCTCGCTTTCTCAAAGGTATGTTTCGATAACCTTTTTGTTTAGTTATTTAATAAAAGAAGTTTTGAATAATTTTGTATATATATCGCATTTTACTTATATTAAATTCCGATTGTATTTATGCATGTTTTGGGTGTTGGAAAAGTGGCATTGAAATATTCTGGAGTAAATTGTACTTTTTTACAAGGAAACTAAAATAAAATTACATCAGTGAATTCAGGAATGTTTACTCTTTATATTGATGACTATATTCGATAATTAGCAAAAATAGCTCATTTTCAAACCGCGATAACTCTTCGGTTTTATGGAGTAAATTCATGTTTTAAAGTATCAATATAAAGAGTAAACATTCCTGAATTCACTGATGTAATTTTATTTTAGTTTCCTTGTAAAAAAGTACAATTTACTCCAGAATATTTCAATGCCACTTTTCCAACACCCAAAACATGCATAAATACAATGGGAATTTAACATAAGTAAAATGCGATATATATACAAAATTATTCAAAACTTCTTTTATTAAATAACTAAACAAAAAGGTTATCGAAACATACCTTTGAGAAAACGAGATCTTCACGGCAAAAATCGCAATATATTTCAACAGTTTTTAATCGAACGGGGCATTGAGAATAAATAGCTTGAATAATAATAAGCCGCACTGAATCGCGCGTTGCATTTAGGGAAGACCCTCATTCCTCCTCTGATGTCAATCAATGTTTAATAGTTTTATTTTAAGCTTTATAACAATAGCAGAAGCAATTCATTCGTGTCCTGACAGGCGTACGTGCAAAGATAAATAGACGTGTACAAGGACGCAATTAATAGGTTGAAATTACACTTGATGCTTCGCTTATTATCACGGTAAAGAAACTACAAACAGCGAAACAAGGCGACAATAAAGCCGGTTTTCCACTTCAGGCGTACCGTACCGAAACGTATCAAAAACGTTTTTAAGTTTCAAAATTTCGTGAATGTTGATTGGTTAGTACTTCCGTAGTACGCCAAAAAGTTGACTTGCGACGAACTTTTTATTTTCATACGCGAATACACCCGGAAGTACGTGGATTTATAAACCTCTTTTCAATCTGCGCATACTCACCAGTACATTTCGGTAAGGTAACGGGCGAAGTGGAAAACCGGCTTAACTCCACAAAAGAGAAGTTGAGATATTAGGCCCCAGGGGCGGCGGAACAGGGGGGGGCTAGGGGGGCTAAAGCCCCCCCAGAAAATTTGTATTTTTTGAAAAATTTTTGATAATTAGGGAAAAATTTAGGTTATTTTTTGAAAATTTAGGTATAAGGGGACAAATTTGCAATATTTTGTTTAAAAAAAGTGTATTTCCGAAAAAATTTTTTGATATAAGTCCGAAAAAAATTTTTTCGTCCGGGGGGGGGGGAAGTACGCCGAAAAAATTTAGCCCCCCCAGAACAAAATCTGTTCCGCCGCCGCTGTTAGGCCCCAGGTACACGATACCGGATTCGCTTGTCACGACATCGAAATCAACGGTTTCAGGAATATCATAACACGTAAAATTGCGATAATAGGACAAAATAAAACGAAAACTGTTATGGGGAGATTTTTTGGGCAGACATTACTCCAGAAAGGCATATGTTGATGTCGTGACAAGCGAATCCGGTATCGGGTAACTGGGGGCTCAATGTCTGTATAGTATCTCAATCAGAGGGGAAGCTAGCCATCACGCATATATATGTCCACGTCTGAAGAGAATCAATTTCTAAAGGTTTGAGTAATTAAAAACTAAAACATTTGCATAGCATAACCAGCTCCTATGTCTAGCTTCGCCACTCATCTCTATACAAAGGTGAGATGTAAAGGATTAAAAAATCAATGCCAGCCGCGACAATTTCAAAAAGTATAAAACAAAACACAATCCATTTTGAAACCCAAGATATGAGTCAAAGTTATATTTCGATTTTATTTCAAAATCATCATCAGACTAACTAAAGTTACAATATATATACAAGGTTTTCTAGTTAATCTGATCATTATCACAAACGCATTCTCATCTTGTATTCACTCATATTTTGAGTTTCAAGATGCTAATCCTCGGATTATGTGACATGTACAAAGCCCAAAGTTGGATAGCTCTTTTAGTTCTTAAATTTTCTCTCCTTACAGATGTCCATTAAAGGTCTATACGTTACCCAGAAACCGGATCTTTAGAAGTCGATTCATTCCTGTTTCCCACTTCAGCCTAGTAGACCACCCGTGTCACATTATCTCAATGCATGGGTAACAGTCAGAATTTCTAAATTGAGAAATACGGGCGATACCCAGCAAGGATGATCATCTGAACCATCCAGTATAGTGCCTTAATTTGAACCCTAAGTTACCTAAACCTAATCTGAACCCGACTCTAACCTGTTACCCTAATCTAATCTTGATCTAACCCCATTAACTTTAATCTCAACCTGACGACTCTTTTTCCCCTACAGTATCTATCACACAACTTTATATACCCAAAGGTCTTATCTAAGGCTTGTGGTTTTGTGTTGGTTTGGATGACTCAGATGATCATCCATGTTGGGTATCGCCCGTATTTCTCAATTTAGAGATCTTGCATGGCTGTTACCCACTGATCTGTACTAAGACTGGATAACGCATCTATAGTATACAAAAGTGAAGCCGGAAGTCACCGGCCGCCACCCGATTCAAGGGTCCCACTTTTGTATAGATTTGTATTACAGATGGTAGTTTTTCGCGTTTTTTGCCTTGGCTACGTTTCTGACCGGGCCAGTTTTACAGTCACAAAGATAGAAGCATACAAGAAGAATTTTGAGCAAAAAATTTGGAGTATTATGGCTTTATAACGCCGCGAAACGGGATTTACAATTTTGAAGGAGTGGAGAGCCTCAGACTTTGTTTATCAACACGAGCTCGTTTTACTACTTTCATACAAAATCAACTCAAAATATACAAGAATTACTGTTACTGGACAAATATTCTCAGGAAATTTGAGGAAATGAAGCAGCTACATTGTGAACGAAAGCGTACTGAGGTTAGCTTTAAAATACCTTGAGGCTACTAATATAATTATATGAAAATTAAGGAACAGTTTTAAATGTCAACTTTGTCAAGAACATTCCCTCGACTTCTCGAGAAGTTTTATATGTTTTAAAGTAGGAAGACAAGTGACAATCAAATATTTTTTAATCCAAATTAACAATGACTCAATATAATGTTATTTTAATTCATATAATTATAAAAGTAGCCTCAAGGTATTTTAAAACTAACCTCTGTACGCTTTCGTTCACAATGTAGCTGCTTCATTTCTTCAAATTTCCTGAGAATATTTGTCCAGTAACAGTAATTCTTGTATATTTTGAGTTGATTTTGTATGAAAGTAGCAAAACGAGCTCGTGTTGATAAACAAAGTCTGAGGCTCTCCACTCCTTCAAAAGTGTAAATCCCGTTTCGCGGCGTTATAAAGCCATAATACTCCAAATTTTTTGCTCAAAATTCTTCTTGTATGCTTCTATCTTTGTGACTGTAAAACTGGCCCGGTCAGAAACGTAGCCAAGGCAAAAACTACCATCTAATACAAATCTATACAAAAGTGGGACCCTTGAATCGGTGGCGGCCGGTGACTTTCGGTTTCACTTTTGTATACTATAGATGCGTTATCCAGTCTTAGTACAGATCAGTGCTGTTACCCAGTGAATATAGACCGCCATTTTGAATTATTTCATTAATTCATTCCCAATTTCCATTTTTATTATTTTATTGTGCGAAGTACGATTAATAGTGACCTTTATACGATGTGGAACGGCAACACAGTGAAATTCACAATACTGTATGTTAGAAAAGACATAAAAATTAAAATTTGATGGGAGTGTTTTAGACGTCAACCATAGTGGTAAATCACAGATTTTTACGTCTTCTGTAAAACCTGCATTTCAAGCCGCAAGAAGTGGTACTCAGGCAGCAAATAGAAGTATAGAACTCTTGTCAAGTACATTCCCTGCATTTATTCCTCAAATTGTATTCAAGGGGAATTAGGTTGCGAACAAATGACCACCTTAGGTAGCTGGGAAAGTTAGTTCTTTGTTATACATATATACCAATGCTTTCATGGTTGAAAAATTATTGCTCCAGCTTTTTTACACCGTTATTCAGCTATGATGTATCATTCAAAGACGTTCAGAAATTATTGGGGGGAAGGCGATTGCCCCACTGCCCCCCCCCCCCCGCCCCTAGTGTCTGCCACCGTTCAATTCAGAAAACTACGTGTTTTATTCTGCAAGCATGTCAGACCTGGAAATAATATGAACCTTACTTATATCCTACGAAAAAAAGACCAAATAATTTCTTTTAAATCACGATGGTCGCACTACATTTCATTACACTAAAATATTTTTTAAAGTTGTCTAGGAATTCGTAATGCGATAATAGCCTGTAGCAATGAATTTAATAATCTTTTATCTTTAGGCAGACGTGAAGCTACACAGTGCAGGGTTCGTAGTCTCCAAGACCAAAAAAATTCAAAGACTTTCAAATATTTTTTCTGCCTATTTTCAAAGACTTTTCAAAGACCTTTGAGAGCAATCAGTTGTCGAAAAATTGCGAGTGTAAGCACCATTTTTACCCAGTAATTAGTCCCGTCAAATCACATCCTAAAATGCATCTTTTCGTCGATATTTGCGAAAATCTTGCTTCAATCAATCTATTTTATTAGCTAGGAAATCGTATAATCAAATACTCACTAAAGAAATTAAAGACTTTTAAAGATTTTCTTTGCTTTTTCACACAATTTAAAGACTTTTCAAAGACCTCAAAGACCTGCATTGAATTTCCAATTTAAAGACTTTCAAGGATTTCAAAGACCGTTACGAACCCTGAGTGTGTTAAATTCGTAGAATAACCTCATGTCGAACGGTCTATGCTAGTGTCGGTAGTGATGATAACAATACAGCTGTGGACAGATACAACTTACCTGAAAAAATACAACCGAGGCAATAGACCTTTCCGGTAATTACGTCACAACTACACTGTTTTCAACTTAGGACCACCTTAAACAGGGATGGATCCAGCATGATCTGGTAGGGGGGGGGGGGGTGCTCTGCCAGCTCTGGTGCCGAGTTGTGTCGGTCATGCGTGCCGCCCGCCCATCAACTTGGTTCTCTACTGCAAAGTCTTGCTTGACTATTGTATTTGAATTTTAATTGTTGTTCACAGTTCGCTTATCATCATGTTATTACTCAAATTACTGTGTCTCATTTTGTCTCTAACAATTTTTTGCTTTATCATGAAAAATAGCATCCCCCTGCAGCCCCTCTGGCCAGGGCTAGGGGTAATTACCGGAAAGGTTTATTGTATCTCTCTCAATCCACATGAACCCAGCCTGGCTGGGCACTTGCTTGGCAGTGGAATATTTCTTTACAAGCAGAACATTGGAACAAAGATCCCAAAATGTAGAAGGGCAGGTCCCTGGATAGTGTTTTAAGATGTTGTTAGTTGTCTTATGTCATTTTGTAAGTTTGTTACATTGTCTAGATTAATGCTGACGTAATTATGTAATTGAGGGGTCGCCGTAATTGGGGTAACTGTGGCGTATTCCCTGGCGGTACATAGTTGCCGAATTTCATTAAATTATTAAATCAAGATGCACCACTATTTCCATGTCTACTGCGTTAATTACTTACAGAAATCAATACTTGGTAGAACTTCCATTGGGGTATTACTGCCATACATTTCATCACAATTTTCATCTCCTGCAAAATATGATGTCGTTTTTCACAAGTTAAAAAGAATTGCCAAGGGATTAAATCATGTGAACCTTTTGTAGTGATATTGAGTGATGCGACTTAAATAACTTAAGCAATGTTATGGAGTACAGGTGTGCATCGGATCGGACGTTTATAATTGGCTAATGTTTAAAATCCAATCCGATCCGAAATTGTCTAATCCGAATCGGATCCGAGTTTTGATAAAGAATTCCGATCCGAAGAATCCTTTAATAAAATAAATTTCTCATTCAAGTGGAAATATTTAACCAAACAATAATTATTATATATAATTAATTCATTTTATTTCGAATATCGAAGTCCGATCTGATCCGACGACGTAGTAACTTTATCAATCCGATCCAATCCGAAATAAATATTTTTGTACCGAAATCCGAACGAATCCGATCCGATGCCAACACCGCCTGTTTTGAAGAATATTTCAAAGAATGTACAGTTTTGGACAGTAAAAGGTCCACGAAATTTCCTCCCCTCTCATTCTGATCATAAACCAAATTATTATTGGAATATCAGTGTTTGTTGTTTAAATTCAGAAATAAAAATTGCTGAAATTAAAATCAAATCATATTTTTCCACTTGGGCTGTAAACTACTGTACTGTAGCCTGCGTGGCTTGGCATATACTTATCTATTTTACAGACTTCAAAGCTATTGTTAAGTCCTTTGAAGAGAATAGGGTCCAAAAATATCCTCTGTGCATAGACCTTACTTAGAGAAAGTTGGGTTTTCACGCACAAACGACGCATCAATGACGCATTTACTATTGTACTGTAATACACCATTTTAATAGTTACGTCAGAAATCCCTCCCTGGCCTAGGAGCCTCGTTATCATGAATCATGAGCGAATAGCTTTTCCTACTCATTAGCGAGGACGAGGCTCCCAGGTCCAGGAAGCGTTCATGACGTCATTAAAACCAGTGAGCTCTCTATGTATCTGGAGTAATATCTTCAGTCATTCGGACTATGAGAAACGTGAAGCCAAGGTGGCGGAAAATGACGTCCAGTGCCTAAATTGGTCGTAAACAGTTTTCATTAAATCCAGTTTTTTTAGTCCCAGGGGTCGTATCGCTAATCAAGTTATCAGATCAAAAAATTAAAATATTATTCTTTAATTAACTGTCAAACAATAATGAGCTAAGCAAGCGACGTTTTTGTCAACACGACCGTCACCCGAAAATTGGTACAACTCATTTTGGCGGTATTTTGTATAGCGCTCGTGTAAGAAAGCAAAAGACTTCCTAGACAAGTCCTTCCTCAACAATCTGACCTCCGTGTTGGCAGAAACGTCGCTTACTTAAGCTCCCTATTGAATATTTGACCCACATGCATTGCGTATATGTACCTAATGTTTTGATGAATTGAAAATTGCGTGACGTAACCACATACAGGGTTCATACGGGTCCTGGAAAACCTGGAAAGTCATGGAATTTCAATATTCCAAAATCCAGGCCAGGAAATCCTGGAAAATTAATTTTAGTCATGGAAAGTGATGGAAAATTGAAATTTTACAAAACATCAACAAAGTATTTTACTTTTTTCAATTTACCAGTCATAACAATAGCAATAATATGAATTGTTATTATATCACGGATTTTTGCAAGAGCGAAGTGAACTTTGTTCTTTTATTATATCTGTTATCGTTAAAATATTAACGAATTTCAGAAATTCCAAACTTCCAGGTCATGGATTTTGGAAAAAATGGTCATGGGAAGTCACGGAAAAGTCATGGAATTTTAAAAGAGAGAAGGTGTACGAACCCTGCACATATAGTGTCAATCAAATCGAAGTCAAAATACGCGAGTTCTTACTCCAGATATGTACCCAGTCAGGAGACCCAGGCTCTATTTGCGTGCGCGGGCAAATAAAACCCGGGTCTCCTGTGATATGTATATAGCTCACTGGACAAGACAATCATAGTCTTCGTTCTTATATGATATACGTTTCTTTTTTTCATTATACCTCGTCCTTTTAGCACTTTGGTGAATCTTTCGTCCTGATTTGAACTTGTTACAACTGTGGTGGGATTAACTTGTCGAATTACTAGAAATATCAATCATAAGATCATAATTTCTAGAAATAATTCATTCATAATTACTAGAAATATCAATCATAAGATCATAAATATAACTAGAAATAATTCATTCATATCGTTTGAGTAAAGATTTACTTCGTAAATTTACTTAGTAAATTTGCTCATATTTTCCATCGCTACATAAGTTTTGAGTCAACAACGTCCTTGCACTGCACAAGCTTTCATATTTTGTGTACCTACATCGTTTTAAAAACTGGAAGTCCTGTGTTTCCAAGATATCCATCTGTATAAATAACTGTGCAGAACTGGTGTCATAATAAGCACTACCAAGTTTTCCACCACACCATATCGCACTCATTATTACCTACAAAATAATTTTCTACATGAGATTGAACAGGAATATTAAAATGCAATTATTTACATACAACCAAACCCAAGGTGTCATATCAGCGAATTACAGTGTAGTTTATGAAATTCCCTGTATATGAAATTTACCAATAAGACATTGAAGAATTTCCGCAAATGGGAAAAGTAACTGATCGTTATTTCATAACGAATTGAACCCCCAGGTGCAGATGTCTTTTTTATTTTTTTAAATAAATCAACTCTCGAAAACGAGGTCAGCATTCGGCAATGCCGACCTAAATGCCGATCTATCAACCTCCCAGGTCGGCAAATTTTTGCTGACCTTAATTTAGCCAAAGTAAGAATTTTTTTGTGCTGATATTGTGGCTGTTAAAAAGTCAGCGATTATAGAATTCGATTCATATATGGCTAAAATCACTAAACTGGCCACATCCCGCTAAGAATTTCAAACGGGGAAAGACGTTTGATAAACGGGGAAAGACGTTTGATAATTCCAAATTCAATTTTCGTTCAATCATGTGATCAAATTGTTTCATCATTTTGGTCACATGACTTCACGATTTTGTTATCAATTTATTTTTGTACATGGGTTTCTAATTTTATTATCCAATCAGGTGCGTAGTTTTGAATTAAACGTCAGAAATTCGTTACTCAACAGTCAAGTTATTCAAACGTAAACAAGGTCACAAACATCCAAACGAAGGTCAATGCAACAGAATATATGAAATATTCGTTTTATGTTCATTTTAAAGTTCCATAATCGTAATGAACAATCTATCTAGTATCTATCTTATAATATGATCTCCCTTTTAGCGAAAATATGATCTCCATCTTGTAATATACTGAGTTGTTTCGAAGTTGACTGGGAATAATTAGCACTGTCAAATCGTGAAGTCATGTGACCAAAATGATGAAACAATTTGATCACATGATTGAACGAAAATTGAATTTGGAATTATCAAACGTCTTTCCCCGTTTATCAAACGTCTTTCCCCGTTTGAAATTCTTAGCGGGATGTGGCCAGTTTAGTGATTTTAGTAATAATTATGGTTCGATTAACTAACTACACACATTCTGTGTTTCACTCCTCCAGTGTAATTAAGGTTTAAAAATTGATGGGTATTCTATATATAATTTAGGTAAGACTCCACAAGAAAAGCTGTTGTTACTCGCGTTTCCGCGGAAAATGGCATGCTTTATATTCCAATTTCAATGATTCGCAAATATGTGATTACTAGTGCTCCAAGACATGGAAATAGATTGGCGACCCGTAGTCAGATTTAGGTCAGCATTTTTTTGCCGACCTCAATTTTGACGCTTTTCGAGGGCTGATAAATAAAACCAGCCTTTGCCTTTGGTTGATAACACAAACTTTGGCCTTGATTATTCTTCATACTGTATCATGCTCAAGATTGATGTGCACCCAGTGATTTTCATTGTCTATAACAATCACTGGCTATTTTTCCAGATTATAAACCAAAATATTTCCTCTTTACCAAAGAAATGCATGTCAAGGGAAAGGTTCTTGCTTTTATAAAAAATGTACCCAATATTCTTTCCTACAGTACATGTAAATATTTGGATATGACAAAATCTACAAAGCTACTCATTGAAATAAAAATGCCATTTCAGATTTTCAGATGGTCTAAATTTCAAAATCTTCATGGAGAGACACCCTTGAACCCCCTTTGTGAGGTACCTTCAGCACCACATACATGTATCCGCCTATGTACAAATACTATTATGCTATTGGGAACCCTTCTTGGAGGGGGGAGCTTAGCCCCCCCCCCCACACTTCTACAAGCCTCACATACCCCTCCTCAGTTCTGCTGCCTGTGACCTCCCTATTAAATCATGCAACTGTAATACAGGTTCCCAGAAAGAGGATCAGCCATTGAGTCCAGCACTCTCCCCTAGACAAGCACTGTAAAATTGTTTGGCATTATGCAGAGTAAAATAATAAAGCAAATAATCAGGGTGCATTGCCACGTAAAGGGTTAATCCACTGTGATTGCTTGACCTACTGGTTAATCAATATAACCTTAAAGTGCACATGACATGACTTTTTTGCCTTAATTTACTGCTTTACTAGAAAGTACCTTCACATGATGAAGAATGGTAGTTACAGTTTTTTCATATCTTATCTCAATACAGAGTTATTACAGTTTTTCTAATTTGAGCTATGATGTCATAAGCTGTGCTAAAAGTTGCAAGAAAAACTGAAAGTGGAATATCTCCAAGAGGATTTGAGCAAATGAATTGAAACATAGCACAGTTGTTGAGTGCAGTCACACATACATTTTGGTATGTTTGTGTGGTTGTCAAGGCAACACCCTAGTTTCCAGTCCCCTTTCTTGCATAAACTTAGTTTTATATTTCCAATGCACAAGTGGCTATTTCTGTTGTTTTCATTGCTTATTATGTTCTTTATGGGAACATTTTAGTACTTGTCAACTAAAAACTGTGAAACAGGCGCTTTTCTTAGCCAGTATACAGCAGGAACCCTGTGACTTGATGCGCAGAGACTGGAAACTAGTGTGTTGACAACCACACAAACGCACCAAAATGTATGTTCTCAACAACTGTGCAAAGTTTCATTTCATTTGCTCAAATCCTCTTGGAGATATTTCACTTTCAGTTTTTCTTGCAAACTTTACCACAACTTATGACATCATAGCTCAAATTATGAAAACTGTAATATATAACTCTGGATTGAGATAAGATATGAGAAAACTGTAACCACCATTCTTCATCATTTGAAGGGTACTTTCTAATAAAGCAATAAAAATATTCTATTCATGTCATGTGCACTTAAAACTCTAACATAATATTATAATACTATCCCAACCCTATTAAAGTTCTAACCCAGTATTAATATTTTTAGTGGCTTGAACTAAAATCCTGCAAATTAAACTGCATCACATTGGGCTATTACATTAAAAAACCATACCCCCCCTGTCGAGGACCTCTGCTTTTGGGAATTTTACCCCTCTGGAATGCAAAAAAATCTGTGTAATTGACCCCTCTGGAAGAGACTTGAACCCCCTCTGGAAGTGCATTTTTGCTTTTTAACCCCTCTGGAAAGAGCATTTTTCTTCCATTTTTCCCAATTACCCCTCTGGAAAAAATGACTAATTTCCCCCTTGGAAAATGAGGTCCTCGACAGGGGGGGTACGGGTATTAAATGTAATAGCCCATTTTATGTCTGGAGACAAAAATATTCAATCATATCGTAAATAACCTCAATACTATAATCTTCAAACCAATTCACTTTATAAATCCTAACCTTAAACCTAAGCAGCTAGCACATGTGCTGTGCAGTGTACAAATCTTCTTTTCATACTGGGATCACCTTAACTGCTCACCAGGTTGGGGAAGTAGAAAATCAAAAATAATGACCCATAAATCTCTTTTGACAGAAAGTCAGAAACAAATCTATTTGTATTTATTATTAAAAGGGCATTAAAGGAGTACCTCATCTCGTTCCTCTTCAGAATCAGATGTCAGATGATTTATTATTCGTTTGTGGCTTACATCGCTCTCATTTACACCAGCCGATGAAATATTTTCAGTCAAACTAACTTTCCTGCCAACAGAAAGCCTGGCCTCATCTCCCGACCAGCTTGAACTCGAACCATGGGCATTCAGACCTTGATTTCTTGACAACGTTGAGACGTTGGAATTCATCGTTTTTGTTGTAAAAATATTAAAAGTTCTGCTGCGTATATGCTAAACATTATGGCTCATCGTCATGAAAAACTTACAAAACAATGTAAAAATGTACAAAATATTCAAATTTTTGCAGTCACTCGATCTGTTATTTAATAAATTTCCCGCCATAACGCGGCTAGCGCCCAGGCCTTTAGCTTGCTCGCACGTTTAGGAGGGTTCTGGTTCAACAGCTTAGTTCGTCACGAAGGACATCAAGAGGGTCATTCCGCCCATTCGTTCGACATTTTCTGGTCAGAGTAGGCTGATTTTCGTTACTTGCTAACGATTGAATTATAGCCTTGTGAGCGAGCTGCATGACAAACCAATGTTCTTTATGTTACTTGTGCAATGACACTGCCTACGTTACTTGTCTCTCGATGGCGCCAGTGATTCTCATACTGACTGCCAAGTGATGCATGCTTGTTCCTTATTCTGCTTTTTTCATAATGTGCAATGTAAGTCATATAACAGGGCTCGTACTATGGAACGCGGAAATCTTAATACTGATTACAATACTGTAAAAACTTCCCTATGAAACCGAAAAATCACATTACGGTACGTCACAGCGCTCGGGTAAACACCTAATTAACCATGCATATATCATTAACTCAGCTGTATTAAGAAACACATATTATGGGAATAACCCTTTATGTATTTTTTCCTTTATAATTACAATACATTTTTATGTTTCTTGAATTTATGTAAGGGATGATTTTTTTAATCAAACCTAGTTTATTGTAATGCATCAAACATGAATCGAAACTTCCCAGGGTAATAAATTAATAATAAATAGTGTTTCCATGACAATATTAAACTTCCAGACAATATTTAGACGATGTCGTCAGCCTCAATTATGACTACACCTCATATGTTTTTAAACCAATCAGATAGCTAGATTTTGGCCACACCAACTCATAACTAACCAATCAGGAAGTGATAAGTCACGTTCTAAAAATACATCGGGTTTTTAAAGCGAAATCCGAGTGAAACCGACAAATTCCGGTTTCATTCCGATAAAAGTCGGAGGTAAAACGATATCAAAAATTTGGTGTTTGCTCGAAAGGCAGCAAGTTGCTGGCCATTCATGGACGTTTTATCCTTTTTGGAGACAGAAAGACGAGATTTTACTAGAGGCGAAGATAATTTTATGATGTCACTGTACGACAAGAAAAGATTGAAGCTTGATTTACCAAGTAAAGTTAAAAAACAAGACAATAACAATGCGGTTCTTACTTCACCTGATTTGATAAAGTTGAAGCTTGATTCGCCAGAACTCGAGAGAATTATCCTTGCTACTGCTGGCAGTGCTACTCCCACACCGAAACAATACAGAAGAATAAAAGGAGCTTCAGATCTTACTGTTAGAGAACAACAAGAACAATATGTACGAGGATTTGAAGACGCTCTCAATAAAATGAGACAGGAAAGCAACACAACACAGCAAAACAACGAAGCCATTGCTTCGACATTAAGCACTATAATCTCTAACAATAACAACACTATCACGAAAACGACTCATGATAATGAAATTGCCTCAAACCAAGCAGTAAATGGGGCTTCTTACTCGTATGTTAAATGTACTGCCACTGTACCCAACACATCGTATCCAAGTACAAATTTTGTCAACACAAGCAGTGGTTTTCAACTAAAAACCCCGGCCAAACATGACCTAACCTTACCCGTGAAAAACCCAACGACAAATCATATAAGAACAGCGGAAAATACTCCAGTTGTTATGGTTAAACCTGTCCCAAACAACAGTGAATCAGATGATATCACAGCGGCACAATTATTGGTCGATCCTGTCCATGGTAGTTGTTCTCAAAATGTGTCAGAACAAAGTGAAGTCCTGTCTGTTGCTACGACAAGTTATTCTGCAATTTCGACAATACCAATAGATTTACATCAGCAAGAGGAAGTTAAAACTGAACGCAAGAAACATAGAAATCGCGTAGCTGCATCAAAATGTCGAAAGCGAAAACTAGAGAGAGAATCAACCTTGCAAGAAACTGTGAATGAGTTAAAATTCAGACATAGTGAACTGAGTAATCTAGCTTCAATATTAAGACAACAAGTTTGTGACTTGAAACTACAAGTAATGGATCATATGAAAAGTGGTTGCGAGGTATTCCCAGTGACGGCAACCTAACAATATTGTAAGTAAATGATATGTTAGTATTCTAACAATATATATTCTCTTAGTGTTAGTAATAAGTGGTACTTAGCAATCACTTTATATTCTTTTATCTGAGATAAAAAGTAATCATGCATAATTTTAATTTGTGTAGCTAGATTTTATATAATGCTTTGGAAAATAAAGTATATATTGACCAACAGTATTCTAATAGCTTAGTAAAGCAGAATAAAAACTTAATTTATAATACAGTCAAGTCTCAGTTATGGTACACTCAGATCTCTCTGCTACAGACAGTTAATATGGTCAGTCAGATCTCTCTGTTACAGACAGTTATGGTCTTTTAAAAGATAATATTTATTGGAAAATATTCAAATGTTTTTTAAAAGAAAATTATTTATTGGTACATATTTTGAAAACTGCCTTGTAGTACAGAGGGAATATTAAAGTGGTATCTGCCTGAATAGGTTAATTCAACTGTATCTTATTATTTCCATGACAAAAATTGATCATTCAATTCACTAAATAATTAAATAATTTCAAAACATTCCCTGGCAGTACAAAAAATAGCAAAATTAAACTTTGTGTTATTATAAGTTCGGGCTCAATTCCAATCAATTCCTAATTAGAGTTTCAAACCATTTCTAATTCGAACAATTGGATCTTGTGTGATTGTCTGCATTTTAGAGGCTGTTTACATGATCCCACTTTGCCGAGACAAGATGTATGTTTGCCGGGACAAGATTCTGATGTATTGAAATAAGTCGATTCAGCCAGACTAAATTATTTTTCAAGCAACAGATTCTAGTATAATTTAAAACGAAAGGTTGTTCAAGCAGCAATTATAATATTCTTGAACTGAGATGTTTTCAAATATATTAAATGTTCTCAAATAATTGCTTGACAACAATTGAGCTCTTCTAACTGGCATTTGAACTTTCGTTAAGCCTAGTAACTTGTTTCAATACATCAAAATCATCTTACCTTCCATCTCGTCCCGGCAAGCCGGGATGTATTAAAACAGCCCCTTTATAGTCAAATGCACAAGAGTAGATGAAAGTTGCCAAGCAAGAGTTTGGGTTTGTGTCACTTGGAAGCCAGAAATCTATTTAAGATGTGAAGAATCTCATTATTTGCACTGATTAAATATATGGTTAGGCCTTTGATCAAAATATTGGAATTCTACAGCCTGCAAGAACCAGGCATTTAGTTCAACTGTCCTATGGACATCCCCTTGAAATTAGACAGTTGCTTTTTAATGAGGGCCATGGACAGCCTGTCAGAATTTTTTTTTAAACAGCAACTTACAAGCTTTGTGATATTTCTTGAATACCTCAAATGTTGCCAGCTGCTGTTTATCGATTGCATATGTTTCCACACTCAGGGTATTTTTTTCATTTTTGACACCCGGGCTAAAAGCCTGGCAAGAACCAACAAGTCCCCAGAGATTACATATGCTCAAAACTTGCCCATGCTAGGACTATTTAAGTTTAGTGTAAACAAGCATGTAATAGCAGATGTGTGCTAAAACCCAAGCTCAAAAAGCTTGCATGACTCGCATTAAATCAGAATTTAGCCGGTACAAAGTTGATGAAAGTTAGTGGCATACACTTCAGGGTTTCAGTGTACATTTAAAGCTCTACAATATGAGAATCTTTGAGAACATTGGTCACTTGATTATTGTGTATGTTAATTGTGATATTTGTCAAGTGGTAAACTAGTCCAAGTGTTTTAAAAAATGTTTTTTGACTGGTTTACAAAACTATAAATTTAGAGTTCCTGTGTACAGTACATTTCCAGATTGTATATAGTTTATTATTGTAATAACAGCTGCTTAATTAAGGTTATGTTGCAATAAAATATATTATTCTTTCATCCTTTGTTTGAACTAGAATTTCAAAGTAAACTTGCTAACAATTGTCTGACAGATTGGTACCATAGTTAAACGGGGAAGGTACTATATAGTTTCCAGGTGCATCAGTGATGTGTAAGACGTCACAATTGATGTTAAATCTGATGCTTTTACCTTAATTAAATCCTACAAATTCTACCCTAATCTTCCGGGCTGGTTCAGGGGGCATAGGAACCCTGGGCACAGGAGGGTATGTGCCCCCCAAATTGTTTCAAAAGTCCCAAAGTGACCTTTTTTGTGATGAAAAGTGCCCATTTTGTACAAGCTAATGTCGCTGTAAACACTAAATTGACATTTGACATGGAGAGGTTTAAGATGTAACTTCCACTGGGGTCATTCCATTTAATGTACACCCCCCCCCTATGGACGAGGTCAATAAAATTCGACACAAACACCCCTCCAGAAATTAAGACATTTTTGCCTTACCCCTCGGAAAAAACGCAAAGATCAAAGGATGCCGATGCACACAACCCCTCAGAAACGTTTTTTTCACCCCCCTCAGAAATTCTCGTCCATAGGGGGGGGGGGGGGGGGG